TATACCACAGCAACGCGTGGCCGGTTCCACTAGTATAATAAATATTTGAAAAAATCAAAACACTAAACAAATCGTGTTTCATTTAGTTGGCCGATTATAACGCAATCGAAATGTTGTGTGAAAAGTGCTCAACTGAGATAAACTATATATAATACAAATCACATAACATAAAATTTAAGAGGTTTCGCGACAACTTGAATATAATCCACATTTTTCTCTTCTTTTTAATTCAACAGCTCTTGAAATAAAGTGAAGTTAACCGTTAAAGTGATTGCAAGTGCCAAACAACYAAGAATCAAAATTTAAGAAAGCATATACAATTTCCGTATAATACAAAGCGGGCATGATGCGGTCACCAAACGGGCGTATGCCTCAACAGGGTCTGAACAGACTTTGTATAGCCACCACCATTTGTGCCATTACCTTTCTGAGCGGGTCATTTGTGCGCCCCGCTTTCGGAGCACCAGCCAAACTTGGTATTTCTAGTCCTTGATCAGTTCTTTTTTGATATTTTCCTTTATTATTTATATATAAAAATATAAGATATATTGTATATAAACATGTACATAATTAACGTTAAGGTAACTCGTATATCTCATAGATCTTTGCTTCTGGTTTTGGGCGCTTTATTACTAATGCTAATCTGCTATAAATCTTATTGTAATWTCCGCCAAAAAAAATATTTAAAAAATGCAAGTACAAACTTTAAGCGACCGTAATAGACTAAACAGTATACTCGCGAAGAAATAATATATATTGGGTAGTCGAAAAAATCWTTTCGTATTTCTAATCAAACTTTAATTTATTTTTTTAATATTTATAGTGGATAGCAAAAATTTCAAAATACACGGAATTCCTTCATAATTYTTACTCATTTTTGAACAGCTGTAACTTTTATTCAACCTCTCCGAATTTAATTTTTTTTGTTAAATGAAGCTTAATATCTCAGCTTCCCAACACTAAATGGTATCCGTTTGACACAATTTGATTGGCAGCACTGGAGCACTGGAGCCACTATATGACTGCAACGACCTCTATTGACAATATACGAAAAGACTTTTTCGACCACTCATAAATATATTTTAGCTTACATAATCACTTGTATATACAAATTAATTTGTAAATAACATTCATTCCCGCCACTGTTAATTTAGTCATTTACCTGCTGAATTTTCTCAAACCCTWCTGAAAGTGCATTTGTATGTGTTTCCACTATCGTGTTGGGAATTGCCACTCTTGGGAGCTAATTGTTTGAGCATATGTCGGCATTTCCTCGCTGGTATCCGCACTCCAAATGTTTAAAGCCATTAGCGTTGTCGAAATATCGTACTTTTGAAAGTAGTCGTATAATGCATTGGCTTCTCCAACGAAGGTGTACTTCCTGTTGTTATCCTATGAATACTATATGAGTTACGCCCGCTTTTGATGACTGCATCATTTTTGTAGCTCTTGATTTTGTTCATACTGTTTTATAATTAGTCAAAGATTATGGAAATTTTAAAGTTATTAACGTTTTGTCAATAAAATTTTGCATCAATTTGCAATGCCAAACCCAATATTTACTCACTCTAATATTTTTTTCCCAAATCAATAATGAAAAAAGATCGATTGGGTTCATGAAACTGAAAACTATTTTTTTTATGGACCTGTCGAGGTAGCAAGTACCCTACGCATATATTTTAGCTTTTAAAATACTTTTTTATGTACAGTAACATTAGCTTTTCGGTATTAAGTTGACAGAGACATTTGTTTTGCTAATTAAGTTGAAAAAGAAGAAAACTTAAATCATACATATATTTGGCGATTGCCTCTTCCAAATGCATTCGAACTTAGGATCTTTCAATGAGCGTGGGACTTTATTTAAATGGCTTTGAAAGATTATATTAAGCTAAATTTATGCGGTCGGTCATATCGGAATGTCATTCATATAAATATGACAGTTGTCAAACCAGTGGCACACACTTACTCACACCCAATGCTCCCTTAAAAGGACATGCAAGATACAACCTTCAAATTTATACACCATAAGAATAAATATAAAAAAAAAAGCAAAATAAAAATCTACAAGTGGAATAAGTATGGAAAAGAAAGGTCACATGTGCATATATGTATATGTAAATATGCTCACATACAGCTTTTTACTCATCAACCGGAATTACCGGAACCGTTGACTTCACACCTCAAGTGTACCAAGTCATTGAAATGTCAAATAATTTATTTAAACATTATAATTGGCGTTCACTCCCCGCCGCGCATACAGAACTTCGACAATGARGATAATTAAAGCGACAAGACATCTGATGTTTGGGAGTTTGTTATGGTACCAGTATCTTTTTAAGTATTATTCTGATCAATTTTTCAAATGGCTAGTGTGTAGACCTACTTAAAGAGTGTGAGAATATTTACTCACACGTATTCATGTGCGTATGTATGTGGGGATAYATTTAGATACATTTTACTGCTGATGCAAATACAACAAAGTGTTCTTTTCATATACAAGTTCTGTTGGAGATCTACAATTTGTCATTATAAATTTATTGCATATTAAATTTGTTATTTATGGCTTTAAACAAAATTTAATTAAATATAAAGTCAATTATAAACCAGTTTGACAAGCGAAATTGTCAATTTAACAACAAATAATAATCCTCCTCCTTTGCCTTGGCATTACATCATACAAACACATATATGTATGTWTGTATATGTACACACATCCGTTTTTGTGCAGTAGAAGTCATGCGATTGTGCAAGCCACGTACCGTGTACATAAGTACCCGACCGAACACCGACCAAAAAAGTCACAGTCAGTCACATAAATTGACATTTCTTTTACAGAGCAGGTCGGGAACTTAAGCGCTACCTTGGTAACTGCAGCCATTTGAAATTGTTTTGATAATATGAGCATAATATGTACATATGTTCTTTATAATGAAAACATGACCATTATAAATATACACTTTTTATTAAAAGTTTGTGTGTGTGCCATACAATTTAACCTGGAATTTCTGAGAATTCTTTAACAACACTTTGTTTCAAAACAAGCTGCCAGCCACGGTTGCGAATACTAACTTGGTGAGCAGCAAGTTTTTTTAGTTGTACAAGCCCATGAGTCACTAACATGTTCAATAAAAATTCTTGCAAAATCTCCATATTAGTGGCACTAGGAGGCGTGATTGATTAATGGCAAAATAATACAACCAATTTATGGAATGTGATGTGATAATTACTATACTTTGTGTRTATCCTAGTACATAGTTTATTGTATGGGAAGTGAAAATTAAAGAATCTAACATTTYAAATGTAGAAATTTTCTAGCAAGGCAGCAACGATTAGTTAGCGTTTTTCAATATGGGACACTATTAAATGAATTCTAAAACATGACTTAAGATATCCATATACAAAACTTGTTTATTGGGAGATGGCCTTGAATTATTGATTACAATAYGCATCCTAGTACGAACATAAAGTTAAGGTGTGTAATAGGAGATTTCAGCCAAGGTAACAAACAGATAATTAAAATGTGGTGTTGATACCTAGAATAAAAATTGCCACAAGTAATTTTCATACGCWTCTCTTGAAACCAACTTTACTTCATTAAGGGAATTCTGCATTCACCAAAATAAATGGTAGTCCGATGGTGCAAGATCAGGGCTATATGGTGGATGCATCAAAACTTCCCAGCTACGATCTACCAGCTTTTGCCGAGTCATCAAAGATGTGTGGTCTAGCGTTGTCCTGATGAAAGACGAAGCTGTTGATCAGTCCTGGCCGTTTCTTTTTCGATTGCTTGCTTCAATCGCATCAGTTGTTGAGAGTAAAATGTATGTAGAATCAATCGTTCGACCAAGCTGGAGCAGCTCATAGAGTTCCTTTCCAATCCCACYAAACACTCAGCATAACCTTTCGAGGTATCAATCCTGGCTTTGCGACCATTTGTTGAGCTTCACCACGCTTGGATCATGATTCTTTTCGCAAATTATTGTCGTATTTGATCCACTTWTCGTCTCCTGTTACCATTCGCTTCAGAAATGGTTCTGTTTCATTTCGTTTCAGTAAGAAATCGCAGGTGTTAATTTGGTCCACTAAATTTTTCACGCGTTGTAGAAATAAAAAAACGGAAGTATACAGATACTAGTTATAAACTTTTATTCGACAATTTTTAGTATTAATTGTTTGATTTGCTTTCTGTGCCTTTTCTATGCGATGACAGAAATGTAGTTGTAAATTGTATATGTATGTATGTAACCCAACTTTAACTATTTCGGACACAATTCATAATTCTAACAATTAACTTATGAATATTTTTTGCATAGTTTTTGCATAAATGCATGTTAATTTTTCAATAAATGTGCGTAGATATACACATAMATATGTATATGTTTGTATGTTTTTAAATTGTTTGCATTCGCTCGGTTTACAAATGCACTGAACTGCGGCACGAATATACATAATGATGCACGCCATCAACTCAAATCCATGATTTATTACGAGCACATACACACTACATCCACCAACTACACATACACACACACACTTATAGTATATAATACATATGTATGTATTTAGAATGTATATAATATACTTTTATATACACTTTCCACAAAACATTAGCACATAAACACCAAACACAATACAATAAGAGATCAGCAAACGAAAAACAACAAACAACAACGAAAACTTAATTTTCAGATGGTATTGGGCCACCACCAGAAGCGCCATTCCCTTTAGAAGCACAACCGRCACAATTTTCCGATGCGATAGCTGSGGCTCTTAATAATGATAATACTGCCAGAGACGTTAAAGGCTTCAGCAAAAATCAACCGTCGACGGTCGATAGTTATGGTAATCCGATTGAGACGCTTAAACCCATCGATACACCTGATGGGCGGAAGGTAATCAGTGCGCAGGGTTTACAATTTGAAATACCCAACTATGCTTCGGGCATAACTGAGATAAAGAAGCCGGCCGACGACTTACTGCCACCATTCATTGGTGAGTTAATMAATAACACTAATACAAAACATATAAATTTTAGTGCACCAAACCAATTTACCAAGTCCAATACGAACGATCAGCAACAGAGCGTCACAAAAGGTCAAATTAGCAAAGCAAAGTTCGAAACAATGTCTGGTAAGGTGAACAGCGAAAAAATTATCGCATTTGTTAGCAACAAAGATTCGATGGTCACACACCCTAATATCAACAATGAAATTGATGCTAAAATCAAACGTATTAACAAAGAAACTGAATCAAATGGTTTCAGTTCTCCTCAAATAGCGCCAGATCATGTCGAAAAACAACAACAACTTMTTAATTTTACTGATACTGACATACACAGAGCCAAGAGTTCTGGTAGAAACAAAACAACAAAACAAAGCAAGCACTGGTATAACGCCGAACACACGCTTAATGGCACTAACGCGTTCGAAAGAACCACAAATGCATTCGGTACAAACACTACCAACACTGCCAACACACTCACAAGCGCACCAATTTCGTATACTTCTACGTCTCCGCTCTCGCAAAGATCGCCATTATTTACACAATTAGCTAATTATATTTTTACTAAGCATTCCTTAAATGAATTAACCCCCAAACATCCAAATAACATAGTATTTAGTACACCATATCCATTAACGTCCCCATCAATTCCACCACATGCTCCTATTAACCGGGCTGAACTTAAATCACCTCATTACTACCCGTTTAAAAAAGAAAATCAAATATACATCGCTAATCCTAGTAATAACAATTTTATTTCCCGAGGCAAACGAAGCGCCATCTCCACACATCACAAGAATATCCCTCAACCCCTAAGTAGTGGTAATTTTAACTATCCAAACGTTCCTACTGATATAGCCACTATTAATCGCATAGCTGCTAAATACCAAACTCCCCTTCCCGCCTTAGATCCCATTGCCGTTGCTGTGTCGACTGATGGAGAAACCGGTACGAGTTCAGTTCCAGGACCTTTGGCTACAGCAATCGTGGCAACCACGGTAGATGTGGAAAATGCTCAGCTAGTCGAATTGAATCCGAAAGGCACAAATGTGCTTACCACAAGTCAAACAGATAAGAAATTACCAAATCATAATCTTAACTCGTTGCCATCATACATACTTGAGTTAAACGACCCGGATATTGGAGGACCTGTGGAATACATGCCAGCTGAGGATGGGTCATCCTTGAAGGTTATCGCATGGGATTTATTACCACCAATAGAACAAGAACCTACCATAATTACTTCGGAAAAACATTTGCCAAAATTTGTATCTGGTACACATAACAATAAAGTATCTTTAACTGCGGGACAGAGCTTCAGTGCACAAGCATCTGAAATTGGTGTTTCCAATAAAGGAAGTGTGTCCGTGGTATCCTTTACTAGTCCACAAGAAAATAGGATTCATTTTACGAGTTCAACTACAACTACTCCCAAATCGACTACMGCGCGTACGACGAGGCCCACAACCACAACTACTACGACAACGACAAGAGCTAGTACGACAACCCGCCGTCCTACCACAACAACAACACGTCGTACGACAACTACTAGACGTAATCCAACAACTACAACAACAACCACACCAGCACCACTTAATCCAAACGACTTTTTCCAATTAGAAAATGGTGACTCATATACTCTACCATCCTGGTTAGCTGATATTGATGATCCTGAATTGGATGCAGCAGTAAGTTTTATTCCACCAGAAAATATACACGAATATAATGATACTATTTCGCGGGATATTCTTCCTCCACTTGAACCATACACCGATCTTAATGACATTGAGTTGCCTGAAGAGCTTCGTACAACTTCCACCACTACCAYTCGGCCCCGTACCACATCTACGACATCTAAGCCTCGTCTAGCATTTACTACCACCGTTAAAAGTGTAACTGTATCCACACCTCGACCACATTGGGTACGCGCTTATCCCACAACTGCCAAAGCAATCACTACTACAACCACTCAAAGACCAAACTCTTTTGACGATCGTTTTTCTTCCAATCATATTGCACAAACGCATGATTCGACATTTGCCTCATCTTCTACCTTTCCCAATTCGAAAGTGCACACGTCATTACTTAGTAATAGCGTCATCAGTACCACGACTAGCACGACAACACCAAAACCTCGACTAACGACATCGGCGGCACCATCGCACCATATCAATAGAAATCAACAAGACAACAATAGATTTAATGAAAATTCTTCCACTATCGCAGATCATACAACAAGTACTGAAGCGAAAAACAGTCAAGCAGTCACAACATCAAAATTCTCTAATTCAAATCCCTTCTTGCCAGCACACAATATTGCTACACGTCCGTTTTCGTCACAGAATGCAAATAAATTTACTACCGTCMCGACAACGACTACTACAACTACAACTCCTGCAACTCCAATAGAAGAAAATCCATTCGATTCCGTCACTTTACCATCGTGGTTAGCTGATTTCGATTATCCCGACTTGGCTCCAGGTGTGCCGTTCATATATAATGCTGAGGAATCGAATTCCGATGTTTCCAATGATTTACTGCCACCTTCGCAGCTGTCTGCTGAAACAACAAAACCAATTTTCATAACATCCTCCCCCACATCCTTTAACTCCTTTCAAATTGCACCAAGTTCAACTAATCGGCACGATTCCACTTTCGCTTCCGCCTCCACCTCTACTACACGTACTTTCGCTTTTAATAATTCCCCATCAAAAGTCATCACAACTGCCAAACCATTCAACATCCAAAATCCATTCGCGAAAGTGCCTAATAGCAACAATAACAATCAAGAGGCAATCACTGTGCCACCAGTGCTATTTAGTCCACCAACCGCAGATGCTGAGAGTAARGTCGACATTGTGGCCGTGAACGATGTCAGCAAGGCAGATCCTCGTTTTGATCGTGAAAACGCAGCAGCAACAGCTGACCAATTTCATAACAACAAACATTCCTCATCAAGTTTTAATAAAAATTTTGCAGCTCCATTCGAACCAACTTCGACGGCTGGCAGCGCCGATTCATCGGCTTCCACAGATCAAGATTTTGGTAGCTCAACGAAAACCACATTTTCGAAAAGTAACGAAGGCAAAGTGATAACTAACAACGTATTTGGTACTTCCAGTGGCGTTACAAGTGCATCTAAACAAAGTGGATTTAGTGCCGGTACCACTGCCGGGCAAGCAGATTTCCAAAAAGGTAACTTTTAAATTTAAAAAAATAATAGTTTACACAAACAGCCAGAGTATAATAGCTTCCAGCCATAATTCTTGATTTTGATCGATCAGTTTGTAAGGCAGCCTATATGGCTTCCGGCTATTGATCAATTTTTTAGACTACGATCAACTCCTAGGACTACTCTCCTATTCTGAGATAAACAATTAATTTCATTTTTGTTTTTTTTTTTTATTTAGCATTGTGTGTATTTAAAATGTTTCAATTTCCATTGACAGACTTCCAACATAGTAGCAGCAGCTTCACCGGAACTTCGAATACCTTCAATAAGGCTTCAACTCCGAGCGCATTCTCAACCTTTAACGGTGCTCCACAGAGCACGAATTTCAATACTTTTAATAACAAGGGCAATAATAGACCAGTAACCAATGTAAATACTGGAAAATACACTGGAGGTTTTGGCGGATCTCCAGGTGTTTTGGGTAGTGGGAAATTAGGTTCCGAAGTGCGATCAGATGGATCCATACGCCCTGCGAATGTTGCATTTACACAGGGAACGGCCATTGCACCAACAGCATCACCAAAGCTTCCAACGAATCCTAACTCTGCAAATCGCGTTGGAATTCCAACTTCCTCCGGTTTAGCAGTCGACTCTGGTGTCGGTGCTAATAAGTACCAAGGCACATTCGGTGGACCACCCGGAGTGTTGAACCCGTTTGACAATGTCAAAGCGAATAAATAGAAGTAAGGACAGCTRCGAACTCATCGCAGCATCAAAGATTATTTATTTATAACATACTTTTGTTTTTACAATATGTCAGAGAGTAGTATTTTAGAATATCTTTCGCAATTCTGGTTACATTGAATATATCGAACATGTTAAGACAATGTTAATCCCATACTTTTCTATATGTGCTTATGTATGTATGATCATGAGTGTAACATTTTATATAATTGCAAATAAAAATTAAAAAATTGCTTATAACTCACTTGGTTTATGACTTTTAACAAACAAAAGTGAGTGATTTTTCATAGATGATTTGCGAGTGGCATTGTGATTTGAAGTAATGAGGAGGYTTCAACGTTAGCTGGCAACCAGCTGGTTCTATATAAGAACAGCAG